ACACACACACACTCACACACACACACACTCTCACACACACACACACACACACACACACACACACACACACACAACCTAATCATCAGTGCCAGTGAATGTGATACTGATCGAAGTGTATGTGTGAGTGAACCATGTGCTCGAAACAGTGCTGTTACTAAAACTGAGAACATTTTGTTACTTGAAATAAAATAAAATATAAAAAATCTCAAAGTTGTTTAATTTCAGCAAGTTTCCAAGGCAGCATTTCTCTTTCACTTTTAGTTTAACTTGATGTGCTAAAATAACTAAAACTGAAATAAAAATGAGTTAAAAACTATATCGACATATTAAAAAAAAAAAAAGCTGATAAAAATGACAAAAAAATTACTAAAACTTTAACTAAAATTCAAATGAAAACAGAAAATATAAACTACTTCAAAATATCAACGAAAACTGTATAATATTAACTAAATTATACTAAAATAATTCTGGTTCACAATAAATGACACAAATATATAAAACATTTATCATGGTTTGCATCAGTTTTATTTTAGTATTGAGTTACTATTATAGTTTTTGTTAATATATTGAATTTTATTTTAATTTTAAAGTTTTAGTAATTTTGTTATATTGTCATTTCTATTATTTTTTTATTTTAATATGTCTATATAGTTTTCATTCATTTTTATTTGTTTGATTTATTTTATAATTTTTTTTGTTGTGCATCAGTAATTTATTCAGTAAATGTGCTATCCATCATAGTGCATAATGCATGGTTTCTTACCAAATATAAAAAAAATCTGTTTTTTATGCACATTTTAAGATTTCACGTGCATTTTGCATATCGGTGTTGTTTATGCAATATGCCAAAATTTGCATGAAAATATGTGGGTGGAAATGCGAGATCTGTGACGATCAGCGCAGAAAACAACAGGAACTTCTAGTCTGTGAAAAGCTGAACTAAGCAGCACTGAATGAAGCACGCTAGTGTCCGAGTGTGCACTAGTGAGGGTGTGCTGGAGACGCACCGGTGAGCGAGACGGCGGCCGGCAGACGGAACACGGCCTGCTGACCCTGCGGTGACGAGGACGCTGTGATGCTCTGACCGAGAGGAATCGCAGGAGTCCCGGGAGCAAACGGAGAGCCTGGAGACACACACAGAGCAAACACACTGAGGACAATACACAGAGAGCATGAGCCGGGTCTGATTCTGCAGCATTATGCAGCTGTTACCACCATGTTTATTTCAAACGCACAATGCTTTTGTTTTAAAGAAAGTAATACTTTTATTCATCAAGGACGCATTAAATTGATTAAAAGTGACAGTAAATACATTTATAATGTGACTAAAGATAAATGCTGTTCTTCTGAACTTTCTGTTCATCTGTGAATTCTGAAAAATAAAATGTATCATGGTTTCCACAAAAATATTAATGTTTTCAACATTGCTAATAATCAGAAGTGTTTCTCGAGCAGCAAATCAGCATATTAGAATGATTTCTGAAGATCATGTGACACTGAAGACTGGAGTAATGATGCTGAAAATACAGCTGCGCATCACAGAAATACATTACAGTTTAACAGATATTCACTTAGAAGACAGCTGTTTTACATTGTAATAATATTTCATTATTTTTACTCTAGTTTTGATCTAATAAATGCAGCCTCAGTGAGCAGAAGAGACTCCTGGAGTTGTACGGCCGATCAGACGGATCCTGCTCACGTCTCACAGCTGCGCTCGTTCTCATCACGTGACTCTGAATATTCAGTACACAATACACAGTAAGAGCTTATTGTTATTCAGATTGATATCACGAAGTGCTTGTCTCCTGATGAGCATGATACTCCCAATACTTCACGTGTGATGATGATGATGAAGATGATGAAGATGCAGCTCATGAGCAACATCCTCTGACCTAGTGACAGCGAGACGACTCAAAATGATTTAAAATAAGACAAAACGAGCATTAACTTTAACTCTCTCGACGCGTCTCTGTCTTTTAAGTATCAGGAAAACTGGGATATATAAGGATTTTAAAAGTGTGACTTCTAGAGCTGGAAAAGTCACAGATATTAATGAAATCTAAAAACATCATAGGCATTTTTACTATGAATATTATTTTACTAGTTATGCTAAGGTCTAAAACATATTAAAATGTAGAAATTGTTAGTAAAACTATTTTTAAAATTCCTTACACTTAATTCTTATCCAGTAAATCGCAAATGACTGAAAGTCATAGAAATTAATTAAATCTGAAAACACCATGGATATTTTTTAAAAACAAATATACATTTTTCAGGTTATGCAGAAGGCTAAAACATTTTTAAAAATATATAGAAATTGTGAACATAAACTTTTTAAAAATCCTTCTTCTTAATTCTTGTCAAGTAAATCACACATGACTGGAAGTTCATAAAATCTCAAATTAAAATATTTTTTAAAGAATTTGAATGTTTTCCAGGAAATCACAAAAGACTGGATAGGCTAAGTCTTGAAAATTCAGTGGTTAAAAAGGCGAGA